TCCCATTGAACCTGGCAACGGGTGGCTTGTTTCTAAACTTTGCTTTGTCGTTGAATTGGTATGCAAGGAAAGTTGGTTTCCATACATTTCTGTAATTTTGCTTCCAAATATTGTTCAGACATCTTTTTATGTCACCCGGCATAACTGACCTTTAAAACTCCATCTACTTATGTAAACTCCCCCCCATCTCAACCATACATACCATGTTGAAAGGGCCTTAAAGGGGGGTTCCTTTTCCACTTTGACCCACTGGATGCATTACAATGAGAAGTACAAGAAGTGTGGAAGTCAGAGAGCAATCGAGAGAGACAGAGACACAGGGGGGAAGAGAGACACAGAGAGAGACACGGTGAAACAAAGACATAGACGGAGACAGAAAGAGAGACTTAGGATTATTTAGGCCCAGACCATCTGGAGATAGAGGAAGGAGGTTAACTCAAGCCCCAGGCTTCCATAATTATTGCATACACTACAGAGAATTACCACCAATTTTATTCCATTTTCCCCTTCAAAAATTTAATTTCTCTCTTCTCATTGCCCACATCATAAGTAGAGTTAAGATTACCCTTAAGACTTTTGGGGAAGTGTGACAACTTAGCAATATTGTTTTATATCTTTTCACCAAAAAATGATAGTTTCATAGATTGTTATCTCATGTGAATTACCCATTGTAATTTTTTTGTCTTTTAGTTAATTCATTTACAAATTTACAAGTTCTATTAACTAATTTTAAAACATAGATTCCAGTAAGCTTCCCCTTAAGAAAACATCAGAACTACAATATAAATCTAAGTGTAATTTTACTGAAAGGGGGGGAAATGTATGTTTATCCATATGGGAACATACATGGATGGCACAGAGAGATGTTTTTCATGAAGTTAATAAATACAAAATAAGGAGCATGGACTTACTATTAGCCTTAATCACACATGCAGTTTCCCTGACCTGCACCAGAATTAGCACTGTCCCCCCCTCATAATTGAGAGCAGAATACAGAACTGAGCATAATATTTTGTGTTTCTCACTCTTCAACATCATTTTAATAGCAATTAAAGCAGCCTTCAGACTCTCGGTGAACTGAGCAACCTCTGCTTTATACTGAGCATGTGTTCAGGGTCTTCACAGGGTCGTTGCAACTGTGTTGACCTTAGAAGTCCCTCTCCCAGCATTGATGAATCACCTTCCTCCCTCCTCCTGATCTCAGAAAGCATACAGTCCAAGTGCACCACCTCTAGACACGGCAGAGTTTGTCATATTCCTGTTGAACTCATTATCCCAGCACAGCTCATGCCAACTCCTCTTTCAACATGGACCATCTTCATCCCAAGCTAGTTAAAGAAACCAATAAAAGCCAACTGCTGAGAAGTAGCTGCAATCCAAGTCAGGGTATGAGATGAAGGGTGTGTGATTGCCCAGTAAGATCCCATCTCCTCTGTTCTTTCTCCTCAGCCTCCTTTGTCTGGACTTTCTCATGTGGCTGGTCCCTGGAGGGGACTGCATCTGCTATTACCTGTTCTCTCTTTCCAGGCAGGGACTCTTGAAGCTCCTTTGGCTCGCAGCAGGAACTCAGCATACTGCACTCACTGTCTCTCCTTTGTCCTTTCTTTTTAAGTCCTTTTCACAACTGCAGACTCTCAGTCCAAGAAAACTGTCTTGCTCTGATGTTCAAGCATCTTTGTAAGGGACAGAATGAGCCCTCTGGCCATGCTCTTTTAAAACCAGGAATAGCTTTGCCCTGTGCTTTACTGACCTGAGCCCTGGAAGGACCAAGTTAGTTTTTGCACACAGCTATCCCACACACTGCAGTGGCTGCCTTCATTGCCATGTATGAGCCTTATGTTGAAAAGACATTTGACTTATTTCCTACCACAAGGATGTGGGAAATTATAGTACATTCATAATGCTCACTTCTCTTCATTCTAAATGCTTAGGCTTGAAGGTTATCAAACAAAAGATCAACCTTAGCTTTATCAAATCTTTGTGAAACAAGGGAAGGGATGGAAGAGTGTTTTTGGGTGGATATTTGATAGAAGATGATGGATGTATGGAAGTACGGATGTACGGACATTGTCAAACCTATGTATAATAAGTCAGCGACAGTTAAGTTCCTGCTATTTTTGATGTCCCAGTTTTGTTACCATGTCTTCTAGCCCTGTTTATTTTCTTTCAGAATTCTCTCGCATCCAAACCTACTAGCCCTTGTCTGTCATGACCTGTCCACAGCAACTTGTATCTCACCTAAATTTTCACAACAACCTGAATCCACTCACACACTCACTAATACACTTCCTTCTCTTTGCCACAGCTAAGATCACCTTTCTGGAACAAAACTCTAATCATGTCACTCCCCTCCTTCACAGCGCCCTCTGACTCCCCAGTGTTAAAAGGTCAAGTCTACAATCCTAGGAGAAGCCATGCCTGGACCTTCCTACTCAGCTCGTCAGGGTTCAGTCACTGCCCTCATACGGCCTCGTTTCTCCCTATCTCCTCCACACACTCACTGTCTCAAACACTGGACCGTCTGACAGAAGAGATGGAAGTGATTCCAGAATAGCTTTTACAACACTCTGTAAACAAGTCCAGAGTTGTTCGCTCTTTCTGAACCTTGTCTCTGCAGTAATAAAATTTTAAAAAAAAAAGTTGATGATAAAGAATTAAAGATTGTACAGGTGTGATGGATAACATCTGAAATGACCTAACTTAGTGCACACCTCTAGCTCTGCCTTCTTAATATTGTTCCTTCTACCTGCAGCACATCTTAGTCTCTTGCATGTCACAAGCCAGTACTCATCCTTCTGATTGTATGCTACCTTCTTTCTCCCTGACATAGAACTGAGTACTTTCTCCTTGAGGAGCCTCCAATAACTAAGGGCATTTATTTCATCATACTATAATACTATTATTAATTCTAAAAGATAAAAATCAATGTTTTTTAGTCTATACCTTGACCTGATACATAACAGTTGCCTTTTTATATTTAAAAAAAAGTATTTGTTAAGTAAATACATAATATTGTTTTCTAGTTCTTGGAAAGTTCAGAGTCTTGAGGGGTCTGAGACAGACAATTCCACAAAAATAACCACACTATCAGCCTAGACAGAATAGGACTCAACACCAGGAGGGAAAATCACAGTATGACCACCTGTAGGAGGCCACAGAGAGGCAGGGAAGCCTTCACTACATGTGTGCAAGCAACCAAGTCCTGAAGCGAGTGTACAGACTTAACATCCAGCCTTCTTAGCCCTTCCACGTAATGATGGTCCCCGTACTCCTTTTTAGTACTCCATAAAACTACAAGTGTCAAGTGGCAGAAGACCAAAGGATTCTTAAACTTTTGTCCATAGTTCTCAGAAGACAACCTAGAAGAGCAGGTCATCAGTCACAATGCAATTTGAAGTAGTAATTCTAGTTTTGCTTATAAACCCTGAAGCCTGTGAGTCACCAACAATCAGCATGCCTTTGAAGATGAAAACAAGCCACTCTATGTCTGAAAATTGTAAGGCTTAGTATTAGGTTTTCATTACATAACTACTGGGGAACAGATATCTAATTTTTAGGATATAATAATTAGACTCCCCAAATGAAATTGAAAAATAATGAACCATGACTTACCAATCTATTTTAATATAATGTAGAGAGTAATTCCCACCCTTCTTTATAACATAGGAGGATATTCAATAAACTGTGAATATAAGATTTTATAGGGAAAGGACTTTGTAATATAATATGCTAAAAAGCTAGAATTTTGATGTTGAAGCCAATAGAATATGACCATCATCATAAGTTAGCATTTCATGGTGTCTATATCTCAGTCACTTTATAGTTCTGTTTTGAAAAATGCTAACATGTATTGAAATGTCTCCCATCAGTAGCACTAACTGAAATATCAAATAACTCTCTTTTGTCTCCAACTCTTCACACTGCTTCCCTGGTGAGAAATCACACAGAATGTCCTCCCAGTGATAACTGTAGCTACCACTGACTCAGAGTTTCCAATGTTCCAAACAATCAGCTAAGTAGAATTCCATTTAGAAAATTCACTAGAAGCAAAGCTTATATTTTTCATCCTCTGTGTCACTGAAGCTCATCCAGCTTCATAGCATATACACCAGATATACAGCAAGAGACAAACAGGGCACCAATATCACTTCGTAGTCAGTCCTAGAGAAACAAAGTAAAACCATTTAGAACAAGAGCAAGCTTATATTTCCAAAAGCACCTGAAACACAAGAAAGCTGCTGCAAGAACAGAAGTGACCAGGTAGACTTGGTCATCTTTGTTCCATGCACACCCCACATACAGGAATCCTGAGTACTTGGACTTTTCAAGTTTCCCTCTTTCCCATGTGTTCAAACAGCATGTGGGACTATAAAGGACCTCCAGCCAGCTCCATCTGACACAGGAGACTCCTAGCTAGTTTTCAGGAGAGCTTTCCTGTCCAGTTCTATTACTCAACCAAAGCCAAAATGACAGCAACTTAAGACAGACTATAAATCATAACTTACTTGAGACAAGCAGCCCAAAAGATAATCTGTCAGCTCCCCTTTTGTTGACTGAATGTTTCCTTGTTTATAACATTTTGACAAAAGTACCATCATTTGAAATTTTTATGAGACTGAATTTAATGGCACCATGAACAATTCATTAGTTACTTATTCATAGGCCAATGTTACCCATATCTATCCTGCTCTTGGTGTTAACTGTGAGAGATATTCACAGCTATATCTGTGGAGCTGGAAATACATGTCCTAGATGAAGCTGTTTTCTACTTTGTTTTCTCTTCTATCCACAAATGCCTTTCTCTTTCATTATATTATTTAATCCTATTTTTCAAGATGAGAACATATATGTATATTTAATCCCTCCTTTTTTATATGAAATATGACTTCAGTGATTTTCAAAACAGTTTTGAGTATTTGGAATGGGTGTGCTAAACTGTTTAGAAATTGTCAGCCAAAAAGTGAACAAACAATAGGGGAAAAAAGTGAACAATAGGGTAATTTACTACGTGTTTTAAAGGCAAGCAGTTATTTGAATGCTTTACAATTTGTAAGATAGCAAAGCTATCATCAAAGAAGAAGATGAAAAAGTTTTGATTGAAAGACAATAAAGAGTTTGGAAGTTTTAAGGTAGGAGGTGGAGTTTAGATGTTTTCATATGATTGTACGGGTAGTCCATCACCAGCTATATCCTTACAGAACATCTTCTAGAAACCATTTCTTGGAGTAGAAAGATTTTACTCACAAAACTTCAAATTGATGGGTTGGGTTTTTTTTTTTTGTTTTTTTTTTTTTCTCATAGATCGAATTGCACAGAACATCATTAAGTCCCATCTGGAGACATGTCAGTACACAATGGAAGAGCTACATCAGCTGGCATGGCAGACCCACACCTATGAGGAAATAAAGGCGTATCAAAGCAAGGTACTCCGGGAGCCATGGGGATTGTCTCTGTGATTGCCCATTTCTAGTTTCTTGTTCTTAACATTGTTGACATTTCGGCCTGAACATTCTTGGCTGTCAGGCTGCTCTATGCGTTGTAAGGGCAATTTGCTGCCTCTCTGGATTCTACTGATGGGGAGCATCCACAAGATACCAACCTTCACACAGCTGTGGCAACCAAAATTGTCTGTCTGTTGCCAAAAGTTCCCTAAAAGGCATAACTGCCCTGATTGAAAGCCATGGCCCCATTTGAATGACCAGGGAGATGGTGTCTTTGTCAGACGGTTTGGGACTTCTCCTGGTAGCTATGGGTACAGCCAAAGAGCAGAAGACATTAGATGATCACCACAAAAATGATGCCCAACATGGTTAAACAAACATAGGGGGCAAAGCATTCTACGTTTTTATTCTTGCCCAGCATCCTTGAAAATGGCCCTACAAAGGGTAGTTCACCCTGTATTGTCAGTAATAACCATGTTTCTCTAAGTACGCTAGACACACTTAAGGGAAAGCGTTGCTCCTGGGGCTCAGGATTTGTATTATTTGACTTCAGGACTGAGACTGCCAACCACAAGTTCTACCAGTCGATGGAAATTTAGTAAAGTAAATGTGTTTATCTAAATGTATGATTTAAACAACGTGGTGATCTAATTCTTGCTACTTTTGCATAATTATGGAAACAGACATAAGAAGATCCATAAAAAGCAAACTTCAAAGTCACAAAGATTTAGGTTTCTTAGTTTAAAGAAAATAACTAAAAGCATTAAAATACATTTGGGGTTCTATATTACTTATTAGAGTGACTTGATTTGAACTCATACCTTTCCTATGGAATTTCTCTTATACAAAAGAAAAAAATCTGACTCAAGTTTGGTGACTTTTGTCTGCAATTCCGGCACTCGGGTGGCCAGGGCAGAAGGATTTTTCGAATCTCGGGTCCCTTTGAGCTCCATATTGAGTTCTAGGCCAGTCTAGGCTACATGGTGAACCTTCCTCCCTCCTCCAATCAAATAAATGACAACAAGAAAACCAGGATTTTTTTCTTAAATTCTGGGGAAAGAACACAACATAAAAATATTATGTTGAGTGTCCACCAGGTTCCCATAAAAACAGTGCTATGGTAGATGCTAAGATAAAATCATTATCCCTGGACATGAGATTTGTTTTTATCTAGCAGACTAAGAGTAAGTTCTCCATAAGAAATGGAGAAAACAGTAAAGAAAATAATTGTTTTGCATTCTATAAACATTGTTTCTCCTAATTTAGCTTTGGTAAATTGGGTACTTTGACAGTTGAACACAATGGATTCACATAATGCAAAAGAGAAAGAAAAAAAAAAAAAAAAAAACACTTGACTTCCCCTCTTGGGTGGCAGTGACAAAGGATGGGGCATGCGCATTTCATCAGCTCCTTGGAAAAGGTCGGTTCAAGGTCTGTATCCTCTGCTTCAGTCCAGGGAGGCTCTGTGGCAGCAGTGTGCCATCCAGATCACCCACGCCATCCAGTACGTGGTGGAGTTCGCAAAGAGGATAACGGGCTTCATGGAGTTGTGTCAGAATGACCAGATTTTACTTCTGAAGTCAGGTAAGCCAGGCCGACCTGTGGGGACCTGTTTCCTACAGGGACTGTCTGACTCTCAGCACTCTGATGGGCCTAGAAAATCCTGAGTCCACAGGTAGGTCGTTTTACCACCCACATTGTCAGCTAACTCCCTAAGGAAACTCAGTAATAAAAATGCCCTGATATTCATTCATTTCCCCCTTTGAAGTCAAATACAATTTTGCTTATTGAAAGCAGAGCTATTAATTGCGGAGGCTGAGATGCCCAGCTTGACAGGCAGTGAAAGTAATTAGTGTGTCAAGGTGGCTGAATTGCTGAGCTGGCGCTAAAACCAGCTCCTTGCCTTCTGCAAGAGAACAAAAAAAAAAAAAAAAAAAAAAAAAAAAAAAAAAAACCCAAGCTGGCTGAGCTCAGCCTCTGTGGTCACTTCCAATCATTTTAATGAGAATAGCCTGCAGCAGGGATCTACTGGAAGAAATGCCTCTGTGTTGTGATTCTTCCTTCTTCTTCTTCTCTGATGCTCTCTTTAACATACAAGCAACCCCTTAGGAACTCAACATAAAATTAATACTGAAGATGCTGTTGCCTTAAAAGAAAAAAAACCTGGTGTCTTTCTTGGAACTCTTTGAAAATAGGAACACAGTAGCATTTGGGTTCATCCTCCTGGACTTACTCACAATGAAAATAACATCTATAACATCATTTCTCCTAATTTAGCTTTGGTAAATTAAGTACTTTGACCATTGAGCACAATGAAATTCACATCATTCGAATGGGAAAGAAAAAAAATTTAATGACCACCGAATTATGTGGTCATTAGCATCTCTGCCTCTTGTGTAAATGTTGTCTCCGGTGTACAAGGTACTTATCGACTTAAAGCCTCCTGGAATTCCTGCAATAAGGCTAGCTAACATTCACTTGGAACAGTCAGTGCAAACTACAAATATGATAAATGTGTACATGTCTTCACACTAACATGTCTCATTTCTTCTTATGAGATCGGTATCATGTCATACTTGAAGCAAAGATAGTAAAGATGAAGAAAGGTCAAAGGCTGTGTTCAATATCATAAATCATGATAAAGCTGCTATTTAAATATATGCCACATATAGTTGTTATGGTAACATAGTGTTGATTCCTTAATAATATAAATGGGCAAAAACCTTAACTCAAGCACTAATTCCAGTGTTATCAGTTATCCAACCATCCTAAAATTTAAAGAATCAGTTATTTTTCTTGCTCTCAAAGCAACAGTTCATGAGGAATAGCTTATCCTTACTATGCTTAATTTCTTGGTGTGCACTGAGGCAATTTCTATCAGGACAAGAGAATCCACTTTCTTGTTCAGATGGAGGACAATCTGTGCTGGATGACAGGCTGACATCAGCAAAGGCTCTGGGTTGGATCTTCAGTTACTACTGTCTCCACAGACGACCTGGACTTCCAGGAAGTATAGTCACTGGGTTCCAGGAGCTAGAATTCCAAAACAAAACAGCAGACATTTCTAGAGTCTTCTGACTTACCTTAAGAAGACAAAATGGGCTGTGTATACCATCCTCTATCAGTTAAAGCCATTATGAAAGCCTGCCCAGGGTCAAACGTACCAGGTATGGCTTCTACCTCTTGATGGATTTAGGAAGCATGTTGAATAGATGATACTTTTGTGATTCTCCTGAAAAAAAATAAAATCTGACTCATTTGATGTATTAACTTGGACTGACACCTTGAGATGGCAGTGTCCTAACCTTTAAAACAAAGGATGGAACTAGATACATGGAACTCCAAACTAAGAATTGTATCACATGCAGCAAAAGAGCTTCCCAATAGTTCAGAGATGCAGCCACCATCTATGGAATTCAAACCTGTTAGAGGGAAACCCAGTTCAGCATATTTCTGAGATTCAGATATCACCAATTCAGGGCTGGCATTTGAGGGCCACTGAATTATGTGGTCATTAGCATCTCTGCCTCTTGTATAAATGTCTCTAGTGTAAAAGATACTTACCGCCTTAAAGCTTCCTGGAATTCCTGTAATGGGGCTAGCTAACATTCACTTGAAACAGTCAGTGCAAACTGTAAATATGGGGGCCCAGGAAACTGTCTTGCATAGTGCAGATAAATGATATTATTCCCACTGGTATCAAAATGGCCATGTTGGGCTAATATTTGTGCATCTTCTCCTGTCTTTAAACCCATAGGCTAACAGTAAAGAAAATTCAGCAGAGCAAACAAATAAAACATTAAGTGAGGGCATAAGAAAGGCACCATAGATGCAACCCAATCCACTCTATGTTCTTCACACAAGAATCTGGGGCTTTGGAGTCTTACCTTCAAATGGGGCAAAGCTCACATCTCCAAAATACAGAGTAACTGTGCAGCAGTAGTGCTTCTGAGTATAAATATATGTTGAGAGGACACACAAAGGCAGTAGATGAATTCATTCAGTAAATGTTATTAAGTACCTACTGTGTGCTGGGAAATTCCCTTGGTCCTATATGATGCAAGACTGAATGAAATTCCCCCAAATCCTTTTGCTGTTTCATTTGGCAGAGAAACCCAAAGGTGAATTTTTCTGGTAGTAGCCCTTTCATCAAGGCCTACAGATTACATGAGAGACTGACGCACGTCCTTCTTGATCCACTTACCAATTATAAGTTCAAAGACTGGAGTGAAATTCATAACTAGTCAAAAACTCAAAAGAGATGTTTCACTCCCCCACAAAATGTTATTGCTGTTTTCCATTTTAGCTACCTTTAAAGCCTGTTTTCTCTTTAATTCTTTATCTAAGAATCAAAAGATCTTTCCAAAATTTTTACTGTGTGTTTGTGTGTGCGCGCACATGCGTGCACATGTCACATGTGTAAAGGTGCCTTCAGAGGCCAGAAGAGAGCATAGAATCCCCTGGAGTTGGAGTTACAGGCGATTGTGACCTTCCTGACATGGGTCCTTTGGGTTCTCTGGAAGAGCAAGGAGTGCTTTTAACAGCTGAGCCATCTCTCGAGCCCCCTAAAATTACTTTTAAAGAATGAATCCCTTGAAAGTTCCTAGATTTGATGGAATATACCTGAACTTGGGGCTGAGGCAGGAGGATCATGAGTTTAAAGCCAACATGGGCCATCTAGGGAAATCTTGTATCAAAAAAGTAAAGTTCTGAAATGTTTCCCATCTCATATGCACTAGGACAATTTTATTGTTGGACATATGATATATTATACATTTTCAATTCCTTTAACTCTGTGTAATACACACTGGGGACCACTCTATTGCTGGATATATGATACACACATATGCATTTTGAATTATTTTATCTCATAGGTTGCTTGGAAGTGGTTTTAGTGAGAATGTGCCGTGCCTTCAACCCACTAAACAACACTGTTCTGTTTGAAGGAAAATATGGAGGAATGCAAATGTTCAAAGCCTTAGGTAAGTTTCCCTTGGATGACAATACAGCTTTCTTAAGTGTCATCAGCTTCCCCACTTAGACTGAAATAGCAAATGATATATATGCCTTGCTTCTTTGGTACAAGCTAGTATCTTATTATTTGGTGAGCACTGGGCCAGGTGAGTGTTCAGTATTTCATATAACTCTCCAGTTCCTGTAATTTAAGTCCCTAATCAGAAAGAGAAGGAGAGAGCCATGAGCCTTGTTAAAACTGGCACAATTGTGGCCTTGTGGAAATAGAGTCTGATGCTAAATGAGTTGGGTCCACTCTAGATCACTCTTTTTTTGTTTTGTTTTGTTTTGTTTTTTTTGTTTTTTTGTTTTTCGAGACAGGGTTTCTCTATGTAGCTTTGTGCCTTTCCTGGAACTCGCTTTGGAGACCAGGCTGGCCTCAAACTCATAGAGATCCGCCTGCCTCTGCCTCCCGAGTGCTAGGATTAAAGGCGTGAGCCATCACTCAGCTAGATCACTCTTTGTACAACCATTTTTTTCTAGCTCTGGTTTACTGCTCTATAGAGCATATTATGTAGACCACTGGGACTCTATAGGAGTGACCTGTAAGTTTCTTAATTAAAGTCACAATCATTAAGGAGAAATAACCATGTGTAATAACCACAACAGCCTGTTGCTGTACTTGTTTCTTCTCATCCAGAGAAATGTGTATCTGCCTGTGAACTCTGAGTTTCTGGGAGCACAGACAGTTGGCACTGACCTTGTCAGAGTGACCCCTAGACTATTCTGTGGGCCACACCAGCAGGATCAATCTTGGGAGGTGCCGAGTAGCCTCCTATCCAATTGTCAGGACGAGGCATGCATGAGAACATTAGCAAAGATGGGCTGATGCCAGGAAAGGTCTGGACAAGTGATGGGGCCACTTGTTCCATATCCACCCATGGACACCAAAGAAGTCACTGCCCTTTCACCTCTTGTGCTGTTAGCTGATACGGCAGCTGCCAGCAAGCCCAATGGGCTGGCACCATTCCCCTTCTTCAGCTGATATGCATCCATGTCCTTTGCAAGGCTAGATTTTCAAGAAAGGAGGAAAAGCCTTGGCAAGCAGCTTCAGGATATTTCCAGCTTCATCAAATAAACATTTACAGAGATCAGCGCAGAGATACAATGCTATTTTGCCAAAATTCACAATGACTAAGAAACTGACCTGTGAGCCATTTAATTAGACAATGAAAATCCATCTAATTTTGGGGGTGAAGGTGCATAAAATGAAACAAGCTCATTAGCATTGTGTAAGAAGTCTCAGTTTGAAGCCCCTGGACATCTCATGTTGCTAAGTTCCAGTGCCATTACTAATGACACTTCCTGAGCCCCGGTGTAGAATTTTCTAGGTTTTCTCTCAAAGCTATGGATTTAGTCTAAAGGATTCTCAAATGCCTTATTTAAAAAGCTTTTCATTTTATTTTTTATTTTTGATGTTATAGTATAGTTATGTCATTTTTTCCTCCTCCCGTTCCTCCATCCAAACCCTCCCATATAACCCCTCCTTGCTCTCTTTCAAACGCATGACCTTTTTCATTGTTATTACAAGCATATATGTATAAGTACATACATATATATTTATAAATATAACCTGCTCCATCTGTGTAATGTTACTTGTATGTCTGTTTTCAGGGCTAAGCATTTGGTATTTGACTAGTCCTCCTGTTCTCAGCCCTCCTTATTTGTCTACAGTTCTTTGTGTAGAGCTGAGGTCTCCTGATCTTTCCCTCATCCACTTTAACTTATCTTTTGCTGTCCTTGTTCAGCTCATTTCTGGACAGTCATATTGATGAAACTTTATGGGTGTGAGACAAAGGTTCACCATGTCCCCAGGCTGACCTCAAACTTGCAATCCTCCTGCCTCAACATCTTGAATGCAGACATCCTACGCATATGCCGTCAAATCCAGCTTACTTTCAACTTTTAAGCTGGAAACATTTTCAGATTTGTAGGATTCAGGTTATGTGTTCCCAGCTGATGTGACACAGAGTACTCACTAGGCAGTATTTCATTAAGATAATCTACAGTTACCCAGGAAAGGTGTTGCCCACTTTCCTCATTCTACCCTTAATATCGAATCACTTCATGTGACTGGGGACTTAAAATGCCCTGTCTAGGTGTCTAATATGCAAAACTTTGAGTATCTACTTGATAATGAGTTATTTCTTCCTGTGCCCCATTCCAAGTTCAGGTATTTCCATTTAAGATTTCTCCTTCCTTTTAGGTTCTGATGACCTGGTGAACGAAGCATTTGACTTTGCAAAGAATCTGTGTTCCTTGCAGCTGACTGAGGAGGAGATTGCTTTGTTCTCCTCTGCCGTTCTGATATCCCCAGGTAGGAAGGCGCGGGTCCCTTGCCTTCTTTTCAAATCTGCTTCACTATCTTTAACATCAATTACACCTACCCAAGCCAAAGCGTTCAAGAAATAACTTTAAAGGGGCTGCATTTTCTCTGGCAATTGTTTGATATCTTTGGACAATGCAAAGGCAAGTAACTTCACGTTTATTAAAATGGCCAATTTTCCTCCTAAAACAAGAATGTCACATGTGGCAGATCCAGGTAAGCAAAATTGTTCCTCAACAAATAATAAAAAAAATGAATTTATAATAGAACCCTGACTGAGCAGCTGGGTCCTATTTTGAGTTTAAGAATAAAGGAAAATTTTTTAATGTAGAGTCCAATAGAGTGAAACTTACAGAAAATGGCTAAATGAAAGACCAAGTATAGGTACTTTGATTACCATTTTTAGACATTCTATCCACAATGCATTGCCATCATCTTTCAAGACAAATATCCTTAGCAATATTAAGCATTTTCAAGAGGAAGGATAGCTGTGGAAGGGAGGCTTGCCTGGTGGAAGAGGAAGAATCTTAGACATAGATGCATGCCATCATTTTCTGTGTGACTCCAAAGCTGTAGTTCTCTCACTGATAAAATAAGGCAAAAGATTCTACCATGGTAGGGGTTGGGGGCAAAACACACCTTCTCTAGCTCTAGTATGCAATAAAATACTAGACTATTTTCCAAAGCTAAGATGTGATGTTTATGGATCAACTAAAACTGTAGCAATGGGTGTACTTTAAAGTATATGGCCTGCTTGAAGTGTAATAATAAAGAGCTTAGTGATGTATAATCATATAATAACAATATGACAATAAATACATGCTCCCTCTTTGCCCAGAGTCACTCAAGCAACTGTCTGTTAGATATATGGCATAACAGCTTGTTGTCAGCTCTCTACTGAAGGAAGAATATACCCCTTCCCATTTTTAAGATAAATTCTTTCTGCAATCCATTTCTTTCTGAGATCAACCTCTTTACTTACATCCTAACATTTTTCAGCAAGATTGGACGTAATGGTTTTTACATAGTTATAATTCTATCATATCTTTGACATGTCATCCTGCTATAGTCACAAACAGGTGCCTCTGCACTTTCCTATCCTGAGGCTATCTTACTCACAATATGATCACTGACAGTCCAATCAAATCTTTTAAAAAAAATTGCTTCTGGTTTTTATTTGACCCTTTTCATCAAAAACTGAAAGGCCCAAAAGCACAAATACAGATATGGGAAGTGACAAAAGTCCCTTTTTAATACCAGATAATGTCCTCTCATGCCCTCATTGCATTTGATTGTCTGCCCTGAGATCTGCTCCATGGAAGATGGATTCTACAGATGCAGAAGACAGCCCCCTCCTCTGTTTCCTGCTCACTCAAAAGATGAACCTTACAAAGACTCCCTTCCTCTTTGGGCATGTTTGTGGAACACAGTAAACTCTTAGCAGCAAATGCTGAAACCATGCCATCTTCAGCTTGAAAAAGCAGTGGAAATGACCATCCCAGGAGGCTAAGTTGGTCTCCATGAGTTAGAAATTGACTGAACTGTTTGGCATTTTTGAAAACTACAGATGCTGTCCTCATGCTCTAAAGAGTTTGGAGGCATTCTATTTGTCTTACTCTCTATGCCCAGTGGGGAGTCTTCCAAAGCTTTGCAATATCAAATACCCTGTTTGTCATCTTGGCATAGTACCAAGCGTAGAGGAGACGGAAGATAGATCTGTGTCCTCTCAGGTCAGACCCTACTCTTCCCCAGCCTTTTGACTTAATAGCTACTGTCTATTTACTCCCAAATAGCTTAAGGAAGGGAAAGGGGAACTTAATTTATTCTGATTGACAATTGTCACTGAAGTCCTTTGTGCTCACTTACGTAAGGGTATGCTTAACTCTTGGCTTGACTTGTCCTTGCCCTGTCTAAGATTACAGACTCAAGTTTCTCACCTGACCTGAACTATGTTCAGAAGGATCATGGCCAGGTGCTTTTCCATGAGTATTTGTTCACCATTTGGAGACTCCCAGAGTCTCTGGAGCAAACTGAGGCAATGATACTAGACTAGCTACACTTTGTCACTGTGGTGTATAAAGCTTCTAAGCAGAAAGGAAAGAAATAATGGAGATGGAAAGAGAAAGCTAGGAAAATGAAAATGCACAGGAGCAAGGAAGGGAAAAAAGAGGGATTAACCTACCTAAAATTTAATTGAGGACAGAAAAATCAGACTCAGAAGTTAGTTTCTGAAATTGATTGTGTGTTCTGTGTGTTATAGTATGGTATCAGCTTTATACCCAATGAAGGAATAACTCAAGTTAAAGAAGGGGTTTGTGGTTGCTAACAGTATTCCTACATGGTTTCAAATCAGTTATTTCTGCTTGGAAAGAAAATCTAAGCATCAGCCTGGAGGAAGGAGGAAATGCTGTAACAGTCACCAACACCAGACAAAGAAAGACTTTCTTTGAACCAAATGGCTTTTCTGTGTAGCCGGCTTCACGGCATTATTGTTTATAAGCTATTTGTGTTTCATAGAATTACATATCTTCAAAAGCAACTTACAGCTGAGATGAGATGGGTCCAAAACTCAGTGTTCATACATGTAGGGGATGAAGCAAAGCATGTGTGCCCTCTTCTTATGCTTTGGCTTTTCCCCTTATCAGACCGAGCCTGGCTGATAGAACCAAGAAAAGTCCAGAAACTTCAGGAAAAAATCTATTTTGCACTTCAACATGTGATTCAGAAGAATCACCTGGATGATGAGACCCTGGCAAAGGTAAGTCCTCAGCTCACAGGCCTGCTCTCCCCAAAAAGAGCCCTACACGAACAAGAAGTTCTCAGCAGCTTAGGCTGCACAAATGTAAACCCATGCTTTTTCAAAGGGAGATTAGTACCTTCTGAGACACAAGAAAAGAGTTGCTTTGTTTGAGGAGTTGTTTCAAGTTTTGGTTGGTTGGTTTGTTAGGCAGGGTCTAGCTGTCCCCCAGGCTGACCTTGAACTCATGACATCCACAAACACACACACACACACACACACACACACACACACACACACACACACACATATACTCCCTGCCTCAGCTTCCCAAATGCTAAGGTTACAAAAGGTTATAGTTGTATAGCACCGTGCCTGGCTGGGAGAATTGCTTTCCAAGAGAAGGACCATATTGACAGATCAGAACCCAAGACCCAGGGAGACAAAACAAAAGACCCACAGGTATGTCAATGTCCTCAGAGAAACAGATCCTTGAAGCAGGGAAGCAAGCCTTCAAACTCATCAGTGAGGAAAGAAAAGGCTGCACCATCACAGGGGTCAGGTCTGGGCAAGCTAAGATCACTTAGAGTCTTACTCAGAATTAGAAAGAGGCATCAAATGCTGCATGTGACTTTCTGAACACAGGAGTGGACTGCCATGTGAAGTAGCATGCCATTGTCAGGTTCTGCTAAATACTGTGTGGTGACCTCTTAGAAATGTCATAACAACGGTCCTACTCAGGGTGGAAGATTAGCCTGACGACTGTTAGGGTCTGAGAGAAGCCCCCAAGAAAGACCAACAGTCACGTATGCAATTTATCAAGAGCATTTATTGTTTCCAACAGTTGGGGTGGCAAATAGCAACCCCGAAGGTGGGGGGGTCACAAGCTCCTTTTAAGTAGAGTTAGGGGAATTCCAGAGAGGAGGGATTAATCTAGTGCTGATTGGTGGAGAAAAGATTAGTATGGGAGTTGATTGGTGGGAAGCTGTTAGTGGTTAGTGGCCCACTGTAGTTGATTGATAGAGCAGTGGGGGACACTAGTGTCTAGGGGCTTTTTAAAGAGAGGGTAGAGAAAGCTATCTTTAGCTAGCATAAGTCTGGGGGACATCTGGTGAGCCAGCAGGAACTTAGGGGTGCCTACTAAGCCAGCTGGAGGCGGGGGGGGGGGGGGACCTGTTGATTGGTTGCTCCAAAGTTTGGTTTTCCTGAGAATTGCTTGCTCAGCTCTAACCCATTCTAGTGAACCAAAATTAAGGCCTGGTCCATGCCAGGGCTGCCAGAGGAGCCTGTTAGGGTCCTGGCTTGGCCATCCAGTCCTTTCAACAATCTCTTAATTTCCCTTCTACTCTGATCTCTTCATATATGTCTGAAATAACTTGGGGATTACTTAAACATGCTGACATAGCAGGGGTGAATGCATACAACCTGACACCCACTTCTTGTTTTAGCTTAATTAAGAATGATTATCTTTAAGGGGATTTGTGTGACAACTTTTCCTGTGGAGACACAACACATGTGTCTACTTACCTCAGACTGAAAACCCAGAAAGGACCACAGATACTACCAAAGTCCACCTTGGGGAACCAATGAGTTTTACAGGGTTACTTACAGGAATATGAGTGAGGGGTTACTTACGGGAGAAAGGACTCAAAAACTACTGCATCATCAAAGCCCACCCTACCAGCTCACAAAAAGGTGGGAAGCTGGAGCACACAGCACAGCCTGCTGGCAGCTCAACAGGGTAGAGGGTGTCCTTTCCAAGTGACTCTGATCTGAACCTCTTCCAGGCCGCTTGGCTGGTCTTTGCTTCTTCCAGGCAGCTGGTCTGGTCTCTGGGTTTTCTTTGCAGCCTAGCTCTTCTGAAAGTCTTTGCAGCTTAGCTCTGCTGGTCTCAGAGAAACTATCAGCTTTTATTGCTTACTCTGGCAGGGAGAGACCTAGGGAATCTTGTCAGTTTCAGGGACTTCCTGGAGCTATTGAGTTGTATACCTTCCTGCTTAAGGAGCTTCCCTTCAGGATGGAATGTTTTAGTCTCCAAGGAAACTATTACACAACAGAGAAGTATAGAGAAAAGTTGTTTACCAAAGTAAAGTGATCACAGAAGGATGAACTAATTGTCTGTGATTGACATTCAGCATTATTTTAAATCTTAAACTGATTTCTCAAGTACTAGAATTTTTTAGAGGATCAACATTATTTTAAATTTTAATGTATCTCTGGTTTCTTAAGAACTAAAATCCTCAGAAGGTAAGAAACTGGAAAATTCAATTTATTCTTGGTTAAAGATAATAGGAATCCTACTCTTTATATTTTTGTCATTAAGCCTTCCCATTCTGCCCTTGGAGTTTTTTATTTTAAAAAAGGGGAGGGAAAAAACTATTTGGAGACATCATCAGATTTTACTTTACACATACTGAGAACTGCTATAAAAAAAAAAAGCCTCCATGAGTTAAATATGCTTCTAAATTATGATAAAGTTTGTTAAAATTAACATATCACCAGGAAGAACATTTCCACACTACTTTACAGTGATAGTTCACTTTGACATAGCTTTTCCTAAGGGCAAGTTACTTGTTCTCTGTACCTCAGTTTTTATCCAGTCAAGAGTAAAGCTTGAACCTACTGTTATCCTCTCTGAGCAAAAAAGGCAATAATATAAATATCTGCATATAAGTCTGTAATGGTATACTAGCTAGTATAAGAATATTCAGTGAATTAATGTAGAAGGTATTTCCCTTTGTCTTGGTACATTATCATGGTACATAGTACTAGGTTTCATAATGACATTTTCATACAAATATATAATATACTTTGGCTATATTTCCTCTACCCGTTATTCTCTCTCATCTCTCCAGAAACTTTCTTGCTTATATTTTTGATCTCTCAAATGTTTTGGTCTCTATATTTGCCTTCTAAAATTAAGGTCTTAAAGAAAACAGAGTTAAACAAAAGTTCTTGCTATTCTTCATGGGAAGGTTGTCTGTTTGCCTAACAACGCTGCTCTCAACTTCTATACAAAAAGGATTAAATTTTAATGCTTCTGTACAGATGTGTTATAAGATTGAGTGTATTGCTCCTCTAAAAAGGTGAAATGTTTCTGCTTACATGCTTATTTTAATTTCTACATCCTGGCCTCCCAGTCTTGATTTGAACTATTTGAGGTTATAGAAAACAAACACAAATTGGCGAAGCTAATATACTTGATGGCAAGAAAACAATCACAACATTGATTCTATAGGTCAGCTTAAACCTGCTTTCTTCAGCTTTAACGAAAGAAAAATACACAGTTCTATTCTTTTTAATAAAGACATATTTTTAGAAGATTGAATCCTGGGAAGACTCTAGGAGAGGATTATTTCTTGTGTAGCATTTTCTGGTGCCAGATGAAGCATTAACTCTCAGAGCTAATGCGTGTGTATATAAATGCTGGGTTCTTGTTTGGACCATTCTTTATAATAACCATCACATTATTGAGATGCTATTTGCTAATGTGGAAAGACCAACACAGTGAAGAATAGATTCTCATTGGATTCAGATATATAACTTCATTTGTCTGAGTTTCAGCTCCATTGTCAAGTGCCAGGGAGCAGGAGTGAATCCATCTAGTTTTTGATTGCCTTAAAATTTTGAGGATACAGGTGCTATCAGTGTATAGGATGGTATGTAAGTCAACCTGCTGTCTGTATGACAAAAGACCTGACAGTAATAATGTACAAGAAGGGATGATTTGTTTGGGCCCATGGTTTCAGAGGTGTCAGTCCATCGCTTCAGTGTAATTTTGTGGCCTCTGGAGAGATAGAACACCATTGCAGGAGCACATGGTGGGGTGACGTTGTTCACCTCATGGTGGTCAGATGCAAAGAACAAGTCAGGAATAGAGAAGAGACCCACTGTGCTCCAAAAGGCCATGTCCTCAGTTACCTAACTTCCTTTCTCTGTGCCACATTTGCTAAAAGGTCTCACTACCTCTCAACAATACCACAGGCTTGAGAACAAACATTTAACATATGTTCCTTTGAGGAACATATAAGATCCAAGGAAAACCAACACATCCAACAGAACTCCCCCCAAAGGAAAAATTGTTGTTAAGCCCAAGAGACAACCACTCCACCCCACTGTAGACTTTTCCCATCTTTACAGAAACTTTCCTTATTCCTTCATGGTCACTTCTTAAATAACAATGGTCATTTTCAACATTTATGCTTTATATAACCCATGGCAAAATCTAAAGCTATTTCTAAGAGAAGCCATACAAACCCTAAATGTTGTATTCAAGGGCAGAGGCTTAGGTTAAATCCCCATAGGATGGGATGGGACACCAGCATCTGTCATAATTTGAAAATAGAAATGTATATACTACTTGCCTGTTTGATCCTGAATAGGTGTAGATGATACAAGATAAAGGCACAGTGTCCATACAGTTGTTGAACTTCATCCTGAAAGAATGGACTCCAACATACTTTCAACACACTTGAAATGAAAGTTTAGGCAGCAGTGCTTTACATTTGACACAAATTTTGATTTAGTGAGGATTTGAAAATTTAGGGGTTCCATATCCATTAACTAGGAAGCTTCATCAGTTTTGTTTTGTTTTCTTTTTGCCATTTGGAAGGATACCTAAAGCAAAAAAAAAAGTTAGATAATAGATTTTCCTCTCCTCATAAGCATATTAACATATACCTTATTTTTTAATAAATTATCACAGCTATAGAGCTGAGTTAGCTAAGAACCTCAAACACGGGTTTCAAACTCCCTGTATAGCAGGCTGGAAGTATCAACAGTGTCTCCAGGGTTTATCAAGGACTAAGTTACATAATTCATAAGTATTCCATCTAGTCCATAAAGGTATTTACCTTTATGTAAGCTATTGTTTTATTAGGATAGGATTGGTGTTGACAGGAGGAATTTTACTTCAATAGGAAAATGCCTCTATCCAGGCAATATGCTTGGAATCATCACTGAAGGGTGGATAGACAAAAGTGGAGGATGGGGAAAGTGGAGGATGGGGTTCCATGTGATGGGACAGTATGGAGGTAGGAAAGTAGAAGGTTTATTCATGCTATACATTATAGTTAGATTGGGCAAGATCCTGAATTTGAGAAGCCAGGAAGTGAGATAACACTGGTCACTTTCATAAAAGCTTATGAAAAAATAAATAGACATATATATTTTTAAGCCCCATATGACTAGAGGAGGCAGCCCATCTGTTTCTGGGCTTCACTTTTCTTGTCTGGGAAACGAGTAGGCTGGACTGCCTGGTCTTTAAGTTCCCTTCAGTATAACATCCTTTGATGTCCAAAAGAAAAAAAACAAAGATTCTTCCAGACATTCTCTTTGCCCTCCACTGCTCAGTCCTATGTGGTTATTTTAAGGACTCCTTGGATGTTTCCCACTGTAATGGGGAAGAGAAGAGGATGATTTTTGCCCCATCTTACTAATTCAAACTGCTACTGTGCCATAACCATGTTGTTTGGAGTGATCTTCTAGACCAAAGCTTATAGCATGCAGTGTTGATGGCGCATGTGTCCAGAGGTCAACCTCTCCATCAGTTTTCCAGGGCATGTTTCAGCTCCTGATATGGCGGGCATTGACCTGACTCATTAGGGGAGGTTTGCTTCCTAGGTGAGGATCCATGAGGTTCAGGGTCCAGTTGAGGACAGCGGGCTGCTGAGCAGATGGAAGGAGATCAGTCGCAAATTCTGAACTGTGAAGACTGCTGTCACTTCAGACTTCTGACCTGTCATCCTTCTTCATTATAAATCACTGAATCTTCCCTTCTTATTGCTCTGACCATAGGGGCAGAGGCAGAGAAGAAGGAGGGATCAGTCTGAGGTAGAGCATGCTGTGACAGTATATACACAGTCAAAGACAAAGCCCAGAACTGGTTCTCACTCAATCTTGCCCTCAAGTCCATTTCCCACTCTTCCCCTCATGAAGTCTTGGGGTTCAATCAATAGCTAGAAGGCACATCTGACATAGGCCTTCTGATTCAGTCGTTCCTTTCTGCCTCCTGGGTTACTAAAGCCAAGAGATAACCATAGTTATATATTTAGTTTTCCTAGAAATTCTGCAAGTAGAAATGCCTGCAGTTGTGTTCTTATCCTAAGTTGTAATGAGAAGTACAAGACCATCAAATTCTCTTATGTTTCTATTGGACATTGCTGATTTAGCCTCTGAAGTGGACTCTCAGGTTCAGACATAAGGGAGATCAATGTCTTCTGCCCACCTAACACACAGCCTATCATTCCTTTCTCTGTGTCTGAACATAATCTCTTACCTGGGTGAGAGATCTGAGCTTTGCTTTCCCCTTCCAGGTGAGATACTACAGCATGAAGCCCTAACTTTGCAGGAAGCAGTGCATCATATTCATACAACATCACAGCCACTGCTTAACACTGAAGAAGAGATTCTCACATGGAAAGAATGTTCCTAAGTCACAGTAGTATTATTTACCTCACAAATGTTTATTATAGATCAAATATTCAATATATATGTATATGAGATATAATATCACATGACATAGAGCATAAAACAAAGCACTGCTATGATTACAATTAAAAACAATGAGTGATCAAAATCACATGAGTGGTCAAGTCAATGAATAATTCAGAGTGGCTGAGATTTTGTCGTGTGCAACACTAGAAGATCACATCTAGAAGCTAGCTAGAAGGCACATCTGACATAGGCCTTCCTAATTCAGTCGTTCCTTTCTGCCTCCTGGGTTACTAAAGCCAAGAGATAACCATAGTTATATATTTAGTTTATCCAGTTATGTTGACTTTGAGTTTTCAAAGTTATACTCCTATTAGCTTTCTTTATGAAAGAGAAAATTGAAAACCCAAGTGATCATGTACCTCACCCAGAATGGACCAGTATGTGAGCAAGAGTCAGAATTTAAACCTAAGCTACTACCAGCAGCTAAACAATTAATTTGTGGGTTGCCC